CATGGCAACTGTGTTGGCTCCATGGCAACTGTGTTGGCTCCATGGCAACTCGGTTGGCTCCATGGCAGCTGTGTTGGCTCCATGGTAGCTGTGTTGGCTCCATGGCAACTGTGTTGGTTCCATGACAACTCGGTTGGCTCCATAGCAACTCGGTTGGATCGATGGCAACTCGGTTGGCTCAATGGCAACTCGGTTGGCTCAATGGCAACTGTGTTGGCTCCATGGCAACTGTGTTGGCTCCATAGCAACTGTGTTGGCTCCATGGCAACTGTGTTGGCTCCATGGCAACTGTTATAGCTCCATGGCAACTCGGTTGGCTCCATAGCAACTCGGTTGGATCCATGGCAACTCGGTTGGCTCGATGGCAACTCAGTTGGCTCCATGGCAACTGTGTTGGCTCCATGGCAACTGTGTTGGCTCCATGGCAACTGTGTTGGCTCCATGGCAACTCGGTTGGCGTCAACACCACTTGGCCATAGCAGAGTCTGCTGCTCCACCTCACCAATGCTGCCACACGTCTGATTCCAGCTAAGTTACTCTGCACCTAGTTCCCTTTGCCCCCTTCCCTTGCTCGCCCCTGCATTCTCAGTTTCTTGTGCGCTTTTTTCACTTTAAACTCTCTGCTTTATGCACTTGAGCTCTCTGCCTTCTTGTATCCCCTCCGTTTTTCTTCCCTGCAGCCACTTTTTCCCCGCCACCTCCCACCTTCTAACCCCCCTTGACCCCCTTGCAGTTCACTCAGCAGCAGCTGCGCACTTTCAAGACTGCAGCAGCTTGCACCAGCAGCTGTAGCGGGGGCAGGATAGCTAGCTAACGGGCAGGATTCCTAGGCCCGAGTGAGGTTAGGTATGTGGTACAGTGAGTATCAGGTTTGGTAAGGTTTGGCACGGTATGTGCATGGTGACTCATCTTTCTCCTCTTCCCCCTTATGTCCGCAGCTTCTCTTGGTGCTGGATTCTTGGAGCATGAGGAAGGCGAGCTGTAAGGGCAGCACTCATCCTCATCCCCCTTCTTCCCTTCTTCCTTTCCCCCTCCCAGAGATCAGAGAAACGGAGCAGGGGCTGGCAGCAGAACGGCGTCGCACACTAACCACTCCCCCTCCCTTCCCAGCAGCCTTTGTCACTAAAGTGCTCTGCTCGGCTCTGGTAGGTATAGGTAAGGATGTGTGTGGGGGTGAAGGAGGGAGGGGGGGAGCATGGGAGCATGCATGCAGGACACTTCCCTAGGGGCAGCACCCGTGGTGGTTTGTGTCCTTGTTGGTGGGGGTGTGGCTGGGGAACTAGCGCGGCGACGGCAGTCGGTGCTCAAGTAACGAACCTGCGCGTTAAAGCACAATAGGCCCTGTCAGAGCTGTGCCGGCCGGCTCTGATTCGGGCAAGCTCATGCTACGCCAGGGGGTGGATTTGAGTCTTGGGCCAGTTCGCGCTTTTCCCCTTGCCACACCTCTCACTGCGAGGCAGAGCCACTCTGGGTGTTGTTTCCGACAGGGAGTGGTTGCGTGCTGCTCCTTCCGCTGGGAAAGTGGTTTGGGGGGTTAAGTGGGATGTGGTGGTTGTGGTGGTTGGGGAATGGTGAGATAGGGTGGGATGGGGAAGGATGGGATTGGGATGGGGGAATAAGGGTGGGCATGGGACGGAGAAGACAGGATAGAATGGGTTGTTTGGTGAGGTGGTTTGGGGATGGTGGTGGTGTTGGCGAGGGAAGGATGGGTGAGATAAGGAGGAAGGAGCAAACGGGGTGAGATAGGGTAGGATGGGAAGAGTGGGTCAGTTTGGGTAGGATGCGTAAGGATGGGTGAGATAGGGGATGATAGGTACGGATGGGTGAGACAGGGGATGATGGGTGGGGATGTGTGAGATAGGGGATGATGGGTGAGGATGGGTGAGATGGGTTGGGATGAGCAGAATGGGTGAGGTAGGGTAGAATGGATGAGGTACGGTAGAATGGGTGAGATGGGTGGGGATGGGGGAGTAAGGTTGGGCATGGGATGGGGAAGATAGGAGGAGATAGGGCAGGATGGAGTAGACTGAGTGGGATAGGGTGGGATGGGTAAGAATGGGTGAGATTTTGTAAGATAGGTTAGGATAGGTGATTTTGGTGGGAATGGGGGAGTAAGGGTGACTAAGAGTAGATTGAGATAGGGTGGGATGAGGCAGAAGGGTAGAGTGTGGGATGGGGGGAAAAGGGTGAGATGGGGTAGGATGGCGCGAATGGGTGAGGTGGGTTGGGATGGGTAAGATTGAGTGAGATGGGGTGGGTGGGATGGGGAGGAATGGGTGAGACAAGGTATGGTGTTGAAAAGTGGGTGAGACCAATTGGGACGAGGAAGAGTGGGTGAGATAGGGTGGGATGGGGAAGAAGGGGAGGATAGGGTGAGATGAGGGAGGATGGGTCAGAAAGGGTGAGACAGGGTGGGATGGGGAAGAAGGGGTGAGATAGGGTAGAATGGTGAAGAATGGGTGATGTAGGGTAGGATCATGCTGGAAGGGTGAGATGGGTTGGGATGCGGCAGTATGGGAGCGATGTAGGGTAGGATGGTGAAAAATGGGTGAGGTGGGGTAGAAACGGTGAGATAGGGTTGGATGAGGAAGAAAGGTGAGATGGGGCAGAGAGGGTGAGACAGATGGGGCAAAAGGGGTGAGATGGGATGGGATGGGGCAGAATGGCCGAGATAGGATGGCATGGGGCAGTGAGGGTGAGATAGGGTGGGATGGGGAAGATTGGGGGAGATGGGCTGGGATGGGAAAGGACGTGTAAGATTGGGTGGGTTGGGGTAGAATGGTGGGATAGCGTGGGATGGATATGAATGGGTGCGATGGGGCAGGATGGGGAAGAGTGGATGAGGCAGGGTGGGATGGGGCAGAACCGCTGAGATAGGGTATGAGGGGAAATTTGGGTGGGAAGGGGCAGAATGGGTGAGATGGTGGGATGGGGCAGAATGGGTGAGATGGTGGGATGGGGCAGAATGGGTGAGATGGTGGGATGGGGCAGAATGGGTGAGATGGTGGGATGGGGCAGAATGGATGAGATGGTGGGATGGGCAGAATGGGTGAGATGGTGGGATGGGCAGAATGGGTGAGATGGTGGGATGGGGCAGAATGGGTGAGATGGTGGGATGGGGCAGAATGGGTGAGATGGCGGGATGGGGCAGAATGGGTGAGATGGCGGGATGGGGCAGAATGGGTGAGATGGTGGGATGGGGCAGAATGGGAATGATAAGGTGGGGTGGGTTCGATGGGGTAGGTAAGATGGGGCAGAACTGGTGTGATAGGGTATGATAACGCAGAATTAGTGGGATGGGGCAGATTGGGTAAGATGGTGGAATGGGGCAGAATGGGTAAGATGGTGGGATGGGGCAGAATGGGTAAGATGGTGGGATGGGGCAAAATGGGTAAGATGGTGGGATGGGGCAGAATGGGTAAGATGGTGGGATGGGGCAAAATGGGTACGATGGTGGGATGTGGCAGATTGGGTGAGATGTTGGGATCGGGCAGAGTGGGTAAGATGGTGGGATGGGGCAGAATGGGTGAGATGGTGGGATGGGGCAGAATGGGTGAGATGGTGGGATGGGGCAGAATGGGTGAGATGGTGGGATGGGGCAGAATGGGTGAGATGGCGGGATGGGGCAGAATGGGTGAGATGGCGGGATGGGGCAGAATGGGTGAGATGGTGGGATGGGGCAGAATGGGAATGATAAGGTGGGGTGGGTTCGATGGGGTAGGTAAGATGGGGCAGAACTGGTGTGATAGGGTATGATAACGTAGAATTAGTGGGATGGGGCAGATTGGGTAAGATGGTGGAATGGGGCAGAATGGGTAAGATGGTGGGATGGGGCAGAATGGGTAAGATGGTGGGATGGGGCAAAATGGGTAAGATGGTGGGATGGGGCAGAATGGGTAAGATGGTGGGATGGGGCAAAATGGGTACGATGGTGGGATGTGGCAGATTGGGTGAGATGTTGGGATCGGGCAGAGTGGGAAAGATGGTGGGATGGGGCAGATTGGGTAAGATGGTGGGATGGGGCAGAATGGATGAGACTAGGGTAGAATGCGAAAGATTGGGTGAGATAGGGTTGGATGGGAAAGAATTGGTGAGATGAGGGGGGATGGGGCAGAAAGGGCTAGACATGTTGGGATGAGGTAGGGTGAGCTAGGTAGGGCCAGATGGGACATGCTGGGTGGGATTTTGAGGAATCGGTGAGAGTAGAGATGTTGGTGAAAAGTGGGTGAGAGAGGGTGGGATGGGGCAGAATGATAGAGATTGGGTAGGGTGAGGCAGAAAGGGCGAGATAAGGGAGGAAGGAGAAAGAACGGTTGAAATGGGGTATGATTGGGAAAAGTGGGTGAAATGGTGCAGTGCAGAATAGATGACATATGGTAGGGTAGGGGGGGAAAGAATGGGTGAGATAGGGTGGGATGTGGAAGAACGGGGGAGACCATGTTGGATGGGGCAGAATGTGCATCCTTGGCTGAATAACTAACATGGCGCACTCATGGTGAAATCATTGCCTGGGGCATGCTCGTATGCAGGATGGATGAAGAGACGTATGGATGTGGGATCTGTTACAAATGTATAACTTGCGTGGTTAGCTGCTTTTCCCCTAGCATGCGCCACCACATATTTGATTGGTTCAGTACTCTTGGGGGAAAGGCGTGTGGTATATAATAAGGCGTACTTAGTGTTAATAAATATGGCGAATTGGTACAATATATATGTTTTTGTTCAAAAAACTTACAATAATGTGATATAAAGCGTTTCTCTATCACATGATGTCCCTCCAACCTGATTCCTGACACGCGGCACACGGCATGAGAACCACAGAATACCCTTGGGAATCCCGCATCCTGGTGGGTGCGCTCAGGGGGGTTTGCTGGAAGCCTTGTTACCCGCGCCATTCCCCCCTTCACAGTGAAAGGCGGAAGGCAGAAGCAGCTTTTCCCCGCCGCTCTCCCCTCATCTATCAAACTCACTCCCCTTAGTTCAGATCACACTTGCCGCTAGCAATAACCTAGCATTTCTGCTGAAGCTGCAATTTCGAGTCTTTGAGACAAGCAGTCAGTCATGGCTCCCGCGCTGCGCGATCTTTCCGCCGGATCCACCGCAGAGCTCGACCCAATGCGTTACGATTCACCTGTTTCGACCGACAGGCAGCCTTCAACCTCGTGCTGTGCTCGAGACCTCCACGCCATCCCTTCTGCTGCAGCATCTAATGCGGCAGCTTGTGCTTCCGTTTTCTTAGACCAGAGTACTAACTGCCACGCGAAACCTAGGCATAGAGATAGCCTTGAGGAAGAGCAGGGGAGGCGGAATGCGCACGGCACATGCGTGAACCAATCGGCTGCGCCGTTAGATCCTAGTAGTGTCAGTTCCGAGCCTGTCTCCTCCGCGCGAATCCCCGAGAGCGACCAGCTGAAGTTCCCGCTAGAGGGGTCTCTTGAGCCTTTAGATCCCGACCTAGTTAGTTCCGAACCTGTCAGTTCCGAGCCTGTCGATTCCGTACCTGCCTCATCCTTGCGACCCCCCCAGGCTGAGAGGAACCAGCTAGAGTCTCCGTTAGAGCGTCTGCCGGACCCCTCGTCGGATTATCGGTCCATCGCCGGAACAGGTTCTCACGACCAGTCCCCCTTCCGCGATCTTCCCCGCTGCCATCAGCAAAGTCCGCCGAGCCCGCGGCAATCGTCTCCGCGCGCGCGGCAGCGGTGTCCGCGCCACCGCGGCGTTCCGCCGCCGGTCTCGGGGTTCTGGCGGCTGATCGCCGGCACGACAATCGGCGTGGCTGCCTTTGTGCTCTTCCGCGGGCGGGGGAGAACGCGGTTGCGGTGCGGCACGGACTTTCCGGATGTTATTGAGAGGGCTCCCCCGCCGCAGATTAGGGCTTGGGGGGAGCGGCCACGTGTGCAGGAGTATGTGAGCATAGGGGATAGGTTACTAGAGGCGGTGGTTCCTTGGGCGGTGGATGGGTACCAGGATTATGAGTATGGTAGTGAGATAAGTGGGGGATATGGTAGTGATGTTACCCTAGAGGACTAGGGAAGTGGGATGTGGTAGTCTGAAATGTTCAGTGGAGTAGGATTTCTCTCGTGTTTTATGGATCAATGGCAATTTCTCCGATCGAAATGCTTCCATTGCTGTAAGCTTTCCCTCTGACGGCGAATTTGCTTAGAGGAAGCTGGAGCTTCTGATGGTCAGGTGGGCCAGGAAAGCAAAGAGGGGTAGGATTGTGGGAGGGAGGGAGAGCTCGAGCTTTAGTGATTTGCTATATTGCACCTTCCGAGTGTAGGTTAAGTGCATCGCATATACAAGGCCTTGCTTCAGGTATCCCCCTCCACTCGAGGAAGCTACAATGGCGGACGTGAGAGCTGATCACACTCCCGCCTTCACTCGATCTGACAACGCGACCCCCAGAATGGAACACAGCCTCATATCCTCGTCCACCTCAGCTTTACTCCCTCCAGCGTGGATTATTTTGCTTAGGCGCAACAGAAATATCCACTTCCGATTTTCCGAATTCCTCCATTTTCTAGGTCCCTCCCAGGCCCCAAAGATGGACTAATTTTCCCACCCCAACCTTCAGCTGCTGCTGCCGTCGTGAGGCTTGCGGCAAGCCGCGACTCGCTTCCCAGCCATGGCGAGCGGTGCGGTAACACCGTCAGCACTGAAGGCCTTTAGTAATTCCACGTCAGCAACCGTAGGATCTCCGATCGCGTCGTGCGTGGACGGCCACGCGAAGAGCCAATCCCGGCGCGGCATTGGCGGCAGGATCCCCTCGGGCTTCCCGCAGAGCCACTCGATCGCGAAAACCGTAGCCTTTTCGTCCAGATCTGTCGATTCCAGACACGGCCTCTATCCCGGTCGCTCGTGTGGTAACCCGGTAACGCATAGGCTGTCGGCGGCGGGTGGCGGCAGCGAATGGCAAGTCTTCTCGTCCGATCCGTCCGATAATGAGGGAAGCGAGCTGGCGGGATCAGTCGGAACAACCAGCGGGGAAGGGCTTTCGGAGAAGGCTGTAGCGGGAAGCGCAGCGGGGGAAGGACCAGCGGAAGCGAGCGTAGAGGCTATCACAGCCGGTGACGGCAATCCCCAGGTGCCGTTCTCTACCCTCGATGCCGCCGCCACCGCCGCCACCGCCGCCGCTGCCTCCGCCGCCGCCGTCTCCGCCTTTGCCGTTGCCAGCAGCGTGCGGGACTCGGAGTCGCCTCTCAATTCGCTGCGCGATCTGCTGGAAGTGGCGGAGGGTGAGCTAGCCGCGGCGCGGGATCGGTCTCTAGCGGCGGAGGTCGAGGCGCAGCGCGTCGCGGAGCGCGCGATCGAGTTCAAAGACGCGGCTGTTGCGGCGGAAAACGCGGTGGATGAGGTGCTGCGTGACGTGGAAGCTGAGCTGGCAGTCGAGGTGGCGGCGCAGAAGGCGCTGAATGCCGCCGACGCGGCGTTCGTTGCGCAAGAGGAGGCGGCGGCGGCGGCGGAAGCGGAGTTGCGCGCTGCGCTGCTAGAATTCGTTAGTAGAGAGGGGGAAGAGGGGAGATCTGAGGCGGAAGGCGGCGGGGGGAAGCCTTCCGCGGAAAACGCGTCCGCAGAAAGGGTAGCCGCGCTGAAGGCGGCGGTGAAAGAGGCGCAGGAGCTGTTGCGGGCGCGCGGAGAGGAGCTGCGCGCGCGGAGAGACGCGCTGACGCTGGTGCTGGCGCGCAAAGAGCGGCTGCTGCAGCAGGCGGCGGAGCTGGCGGAGCGCGCGGGGGAGGCGCGGGGGAAGGCGCAGGAGGCGGAGGAGCGCGCGGCGGCGAGCATGGCGGCGGCGGAAGAGGCGGTGGCGAGTGAGGTGGAGGCGAACAGGCGCGTGTCGGACGCGAGCAAGGCGGTCAGCCGGGCGGAGAAACTGAGTAAAGACATCGCCAAGGTACGTATCTGGGGGGAAGGGGGGGGGCGGGGGGGAAGGTGGAGGGAGTTTGGAAAGGGAGGGGGTGAAGATTTAAGGCACACTCTTGCCGTAGGGGCGAACAGGCGTGTGTCGGACGCGAGCAAGGCGGTCAGCCGGGCGGAGAAACTGAGCAAAGATATCGCCAAGGTATGATTTGATTAGGGGGGGGGTAATGTGGAGGACGGACGGAAATTGGGGAGGCATAAACGACGAGGTAGAGTGATTCGCAGGTTTTTGCGGCAGCATACTCGTCTTGGCACTACATCCCATATTTCCTTGTCGTTAAACCCCTAAACCCCTTGTTTGTAGGCAAGGGAAAAGGCGGCGCTGCTGACGGTGGAGAAGGAGGCCCTGCTGGCCAATGAGGTGGCTCGGGCATCCGCTGCGCTGGCGTCTACAGTGAAAGAGGGGAAGGCAGCAGCCAAGCAGATGCTGCCACGTGGCACTCCTGCTGCAGCTGATGCCGCTGCTACTACAGCTGCTACAGCTGGTGGGGTGGGAGCAGGTGGGTCAGGTGGAAAGATAGGCGGTACAGTGGAGGCAGGAGCGGGAGCAGGGGCACCTGAGGTGGGTGTGGGCGCGGATGGGGGCAGGAAGAAGGAGAAGAGCAAGGAGAAGGCAGCGAAGGGAGAGAGCGCGGTTGGGGTGGGGAAGGGAGCGGTGCAGAGTGGTGGTGGGGAGACGGGGAAGGAAGGGCGGTCCGCAGGGGAGTTAGCGGCTCCTGCTGCTGCTGCTGCTGCGAGCAATGTGGGGGTGAAGGGTGCGGCTACCAGTGCACCAGGCATAACATCAGGCGGTGCTTCTGTTGCCCCTGCAGGAAAGGTGCCTGGGGAGGGAAATGGGGTGGCACGTGGCAGCCTGGGATTGGACAAGGCAGGGGCGGTGGTGGCAGATGGAGCAAGGGGCGAGAGTGGGGCAGAGGTGGAGTTAGAAGGGCAGCTTGAGCTGGATCCAGTCACGGCAGCAGCAGCAGCCTCTGCTCCGCTGCCCAAACCCTCTTCCTCCTCTAAGCCCAAGAAATCCTCCCGCTTCTTCTCCGCATCCTTCTTCTCTGCCCCAGACGACACCGGCACCGCCGCCTCCCCCCTCGCCTGGCTCCAGTCCTCCCTCCCCCGCCTCCTCGCCTCCCTCAGAAGGCACCTCCCCAAGGCCGTGCTCGCGTTTGTCGTCCTCCTGATGGGCTGCGTGGCGCTGAACGCGCGCATGGAGAACCGGGCGGCGCAGAAGGGACAGCACATGCCGCCCGTGACGGTGGCGGTTATGGAGGTGGAGCAGAGGGCGGTGCGGCCGCTGGTGGCTGAGGTGGCGAAGGCGGGGAGGAGAGTGCGGGAGATGGTGGAGAGGATGCCCAAGCACGAGCCGAATGAGGAGGAAGCATCTCTTTACGATGTGCTGTGGCTGCTGCTGGCTAGCGTGGTATTCGTTCCGGCGTTTCAAAAACTGCCAGGAGGTGAGCTTTGAGGTGTGAGCTGTGTGGGAACCAGTCGCCTTTGCCCTCTGCATCTCGTTTCTGTACCTCAGGCAACGCGTGCGCAGCACCGAGGCCTTCCCCTCTCCCCCCGTCCCGCTACCGCTGCTGTGTCATCTTACAGCGAATTCTGAAGTTGGGCCGACGACCAAGTTTTCCCATCGGCACCAAGTTTTCCCATGCGACTCGGGAAACTGGGTGGATACCCAACCTTGCTGCGAAACGCTCGCGAAAAGGCCACCGAAAACAAGCCGCGAAAATGCGACCTCCAAAATTTCGCGGCCAACTGGGAAGCACGCACAACGGGCTGCGACCCATGGGCGAACAGAGGAATGTACCGGTTGCGCGTCTGCAACCTGACGGTCGAGTTTGCAACAACATTGGTACAAAAAAACCCGCCAACAGCCCCAAAACCTGCACTGCTAAACTGTACCCATCGCGTTGCGATGTTGCTGTTAGGTTTTTATGGCTTGAGAGGCGATATTGGGGTCCAGGAAGTTCTGCCCGTTATTCGTTTCGTGCCTCGTTTGTTTGTGTGTTGTTACGGGCAGCTGATGCGGTAACCGTGCCACTGGGCCGTCTGTTTTGCAAACGTGTCTCACGTCCAGACGAGGCGCATTCATCCACAGTACCAATTTGCGCCGGACGTGTTGATCGCGTTGGTCGTGCGCCCACGTCGCAGGGCACATGGGCGAAACTTTTGGTTTCGGCAAAAGCCGAAGCGCACAGCCCAACATTGCATTCCCAATTTCAGACATTTCAAGACATTTCGAGCCGCATGGGAAAACTTTGCTCGTCGGCCCAACTTCAGAATACGATCTTACTCCCTCAGGCACACGTGCACGGCACAGCACAGCACCATGGCACGGCCCTCTGTCCTCGGCCGCCGATGGCTGTTCTGCCACCTTATTCCCACACCCCAGGCAACCCTGTCTTGGGATACCTGGCAGCAGCGGTGCTGATACGCCCTCCCCAACATAAGCACATGCATGGCATGGCATGGCACCAAGCCTCTTTACTCTGTCCTCTCTCCCCCCTGCTCCCTCTTTCCCAACACACACAGGAAGCCCTGTGTTGGGCTACCTGGCAGCGGGGGCGCTGATTGGCCCGTACGCCCTCTCCATCATTAAGCATGTGCATGGCACCAAGGCGCTTGCTGAGTTTGGCGTGGTGTTCCTCATGTTCAACATCGGGCTTGAGGTCAGTACCTCTCATGTTCAACATCGGGCTCGAGGTCAGTACCTCTCATGTTCAACATCGGGCTTGAGGTCAGTACCTCTCATGTTCAACATCGGGCTCGAGGTCAGTACCTCTCATGTTCAACATCGGGCTCGAGGTCAGTACCTCTCATGTTCAACATCGGGCTCGAGGTCAGTACCTCTCATGTTCAACATCGGGCTCGAGGTCAGTACCTCTCATGTTCAACATCGGGCTCGAGGTCAGTACCTCTCATGTTCAACATTTGCACACTCCGGCGATCTTGCATGCTTGGGCGATCTTGCATGCTTGGGCGATCTTGCACGCTTGGGCGATCGGTCTTGAGCGCTTGGGCGGTCTCGAGGGGCTGGGCGGTCTTGAGCGCTTGGGCGGTCGTGTGCAGCCACTCTCTTCCTCTCTCTCCTCTCGCGTCCCTCCCATCCATGATCCCTCCATTCCCTCACCTCCCTCACCCCCCTCCTATCCCCATCACGCCCCTCCTATCTCCATCACCCCCCTCCTATCCCCATCACCCCCC